TTTGTCTGGAAACGAAAGCCTATAAATTTTCCTTTAAAGGGAAATAACTCAAAACCGGAAGTGGCTTTTTAAAATTTTAGACCATATTCTGATAGAGTTTATTAACGTCTATAACGTCTGAAAATTTGAGCGAAATCCGTTGAGAAATGAGCGAGATATGAGGCCTCAAAGTTGCGGTCTAGGAAGCAGAAGAAAAAAAAAGAATAATAATCTTTACCAACAGAATCAGTAGAAGGTCTTCCGTTGGAAACGGAAGACCTTAATAAATAAAAACACAGAAAACAAGTAAAACATAAGCGCTTTCATTTCTTCTTCATGATGTTTTACAAAATACTCACGGTACCGTCTATCGTGACGTCATAATAACTTAACCTCTGATTGACTTCATATTTTTCCCGTTCTTTCACAGAACAATGCATAAACAAAGCATACAATAACAAAGATATAAATGTGAGTCAATAACACAATTTACATGTAAAGAAACAATTCTTTTACATTAAACTATTTAATTTAGGTTTGAAAGTCCTTATAAAATGTTTTTCTTTATCACGTCTTTCGATTGTGTTAAAGTTGTGCAGTTTACAAAATGGAAAGGCAGTAAAAGTCTTATTTCCGCACACGTCTAAGTGTTCACTGACTTTGAGTTTGTGGTATTGCGGTACGTTTATTTGTTGTTTGTGTACTCCGATCCTTTCCCGTAAGGTACTTCCCGTCTCGCCGATATATAGTTCCCCGCAACCGGAACATGCTATAACGTATAACGTATATAACATTTCTAGTTTGACATGACATGTAATTATTAACAGTAAACTGTGTCCCGTTCAAATTGAAACTTTGTCCTTGTCGTACGTATGGGCAGGTACCACAACGCGGATCCTGGCACTTGGTCACATGAAATTCTGTCGTTTATTTAAAAGAGAACTTTTTGAGAATTCGTCTGAGGTTCTTCAGCCGCCTCCTACTGTTTATGAATTTCCGATTTCTAAATATTTTAGACATAATTTCGTCGGTTTTCAAAACGTCACTGAGTTGGTAGACAATAGGTGCAACGTTTGTATTCTGGGGATTATATATCTTATATAAAGCACTAAAAATGACCAACGACACAAACAATAAAAATTGTCATAAAAATTGTGAAATTTTCGGTACGCCCTGTCCCTTTCTCAGGACAAAGAAAAAAGTTAAAAAGTCATGAGAACAAAGGAAAAAGAGAAACAAAAACAAATAGCACTACTACTCAACTACTAAACACTATAATTATATTTACAAACTTAATCATATGTTGATTGGAAATGTTTAAGAACACTATTAAAGAAAGAAATCCGGACAGCTATGAAATACGTCTAGTCTATCGGGTTTACTCGGGTGAGGTGCGATTTACATAATTGAACGAATTAATTATGCTAATTAATTACGACAATCAGTAAATCGTACATTGTTTCATTCTCTCAAAATAGCGTAAAGAAAGAATAATCAAAGAAAAATAATATAGCAGGGATAATTTAACATATTAATTATATCTATTATAAATTTTGAAATGTTTTAGGACTAATTATCGGGAAAATATTAACAAAGGCGTAAGCAATACACAGTTATGTGGGTTGTTCGAGAGTTGGTAATGCAAATTAATTGTAGAGTTTACACTAAATTGAGAGAAATATCTTGTTTCGTATCATCAGGAATTGGGTCTAGTTTACGTTCATTCTGGTGAAGTCATTCAGTTTGTTAATACCATTAGGGCGGAATGACTTCAATCTGTGCATCCTGAACTTTTCTTTGCTTTTTCTCTGAGCATCTGTCCAATTGGGTTATGTTCAATCACCACTACTGTCATGTCCTCCCATTTGTGCCCCTCAAGGTTGAAATGTTCCCCAACGGGTTCATTGAGTTTTTGGTCCTAATGGTCGAACGATGGTTATCGACTCTCCTGCGGAGATCTCCTGTTTCACCAATATACTGTTTGGAGCAAACTTTGCAACTGATGAGATAAATGCAGTTGTCAGTATGACAGGACAAATTCCCTAGTATTTTGTAGTTGCGGCCTGTAACAAGGCTGTTAAAACTGTCTGTCTCAGTGCTGTGCTTACAAAGAAGACATCTTCTGTCAGAGCAAGATTTAAAGCCCCAGTTAGGTAATGGGTTGTCCAATCTGGTTCTTACTACCATGTCCTTTAGGTTCTTTGGGCGTCTGTATGCAACCAATGGGGGTTCCTTAAAGACCTCTGCCATTCGTTTGTTTGAATGGAGAATTGGTAGATTCTTTTGAAGGATACCGCTAAGGTTCTTAAGGACGGGATGATATGTGGTTACCAGAGGAACCCTGCCGCTATTGTCTTTCTCCTTGTCGCGTAATAGGTTTTGCCTGTCATGTCCCGTCATCTCATCAATAGCTGTTTGTACGGTGCGGTCATTGTAGCCTCTTTTGCATAAGTGGGACTTAAGAAGACCACTTTGCTCCTGATATAAGGAATGTCACTATGTCTTTCTTGGGATAGCCACAAGTTAAGACAATTGAAGATTGAGATAAAGTCCTTAGAAACATCCCTCAACGATATCATGTCTCAGGTCGATCTTAATGAAGCCCATAATATTATAGACACCTGTAATATGGCCCTAACAAATAAAGTCAGCAAGACTAAAAAAAAAAGAAATTTCTCCGCGACAGTGTTCCACAGTCTAGGAACAACTGGTCAGATGTCAGAGTTAATAAAACACGTAAACACTTGCGCTTCAATCGCGAGGGATGGACCCATACAAACTCCTGACGTCTGCCCAGTGCTCAATACATAGTGCTCCTCTCTCCGAAACAGAGACCTGACTTCTTTCGAAGGGGCTGAATTTCTGCCCCACGCTAAATGAGGTCGACAAAAAACAAGTCAGAGTGGACACCCGAGCAATCTTCCGGAGACTTTGTTTGAAGGAACACTTCTCTAGAAAAGACTCCGGAGTAAATTCATACGACTCTTCCAAGCCAAATTTACACGATCTAGAGGAACACAAACTCTATAACCCCAAGAGTGACTGGGAACCTGTACCGGGCAAGTGCAGCGCGCTTGAGTTGTATATTGACGCCGTTGAGTCAGACTAGAGAAGCTCCTTTCAATGCGAGACAAGACTCCCGACAATTTGAGTAAGGAAGAGAGATCTGCCTTTCAAACTTTAAAAAATCGGGATGACATTGTAATCAAGAAAGCAAACAAAGGCTCTACAGTTGTAGTACTGGATAAAGATACTTACATGGCGGACGCCCTAAGACAACTCTCAGACGAACGTTTCTTAAAGAAACTTGACACTGACCCTACTAGAGAATTCTCCACCGTCATTACCAAAACTCTTGACGATTTGTTTGAGAAAAATGAGATTAGTATCAACGTCTTTGAGACCTTAAATCCTATTGACTGTAGACCAGGACAATTCTATCTGCTTCCTAAAATACATAAAAGAAGGCATGCCAGGTCTCCCCATAGTCAACGCAATTGGACACCCCACGGAGAAAATTTCTGAATTCATTTATTTACATCTCCGTCCACACGTAGAGAATTTACCATCCTATCTTAAGGACATCACGGAATACATTAACAAGACGCCCTCTACTGGCCTCCCAGATCATTCCCTCCTCATGACCGTGGACGTCACATCTTTGTAAACCAATATTCTGCACGATAAGGGTATCAAAGCCTGTAGGGAAGTCTGGGATAGAAGATCAATACAAATTCCTTCTACCGAGTCCCTTGCCAGCTCCTTGCACATGTTCTGAAGTTCAACAACTTCATGTTTAATGGAGATCATTACATGCAGGTTTATGGCACTGCTTTGGGTATGAAAATGGCACCGTCCTATGCCAATGTCTTCATAGACAGACTGGAATGCAACTTGTTAATTCAAGCACCATTTAGGCCCCTAAGCTGGTTGCGTTTCATTGATGATATAGAGATGAAGTGAGTGGAATGTCTTGAGAGCCTCGAGGCATTCATTACGTTTGCCAACACCTTTCATCAGTCGATCAAATTTACAGTAGTTCTATCTTATTCGAAAAACGTATTCCTAGATACTACATCTACCCTGATTGATGGTGAAAATCGAATTAAGTCTCCAAACCAAACCCACTTATATCTTATGCCCACTAGCTGTCATCCCCCCACACTTTTAAGGGAGTGTAGAAGTCGACCCTGCCTCATATCAGGAGTTTTATGCAAAAGAGGCTACAATGACCGCACCGTACAAACAGTTATTGAAGAGATGGCTGGACATGACAGGCAAAACCTATTACGCTACACGGAGAAAGACAATAGCGGCAGGGTTCCTCTGGTAACTACATATCATCCCGTCCTTAAGAACCTTAGCGGTATCCTTCAAAAGAACCTACCAATTCTTTCAAACAAACGAATGGCAGAGGTCTTTAAGGAACCCCCATTGGCTGCAAAACTCAGTGATCCCGTTGGGGAACATTTCAACCTAGAGGGGCACAAATGGGAGGACATGACAGTAGTGGTGATTGAACATAACCCAAATTCAGAGACAAAGAAAAGTTTTTATCCGCCCTAATGGTATTAACAAACTGAATGACTTCACCAGAATGAACGGACCAAATTGATACTAAACAAGATCATTCTCTTTTAGTGTAAACTCTAGAATTAATTTGCTTCGAACAACCCACATATATATATATATATATATATATATATATATATATATATATATATATATATATATATATATATATATATGATTGTCGTAATTAATTAGCATAATTAATTGGAAACAATATTAGACCAGACGTAAATTTCTTTAATAATGTTCTTAAACATTTCCAATCAACATGTGATTAAGTTTGTAAATATAATTATAGTGTTTAGTAGTTGAGTAGTAGTGCTATTTGTTTTTGTTTCTCTTTTTCCTTTGTTCTCATGACTTTTTAACTTTTTTCTTTGTCACGAAAATTTGACAATTTTTATTGTTCGTGTCGTTGGTAATTTTGATCTATACTATATATATATACGTTATATGGAGACAATATTTACCAAATTTCCATCTTTGTCATATAGCAACATCTTGAATCGATGAAAGTAATAATGATTTTCCCTCTCATCTTCCGACATTTCGCCATACGTTTTTTCAGCATCATAACCAAAACTGACATCTTTTTGGTCTTTGTTGAGTAGCAAAGTTGTGGGTGTTTTATTGGAAATAAAACGTCCAGCATTCCAATTAACAGTGTATATTTTTTCAAGGTCCTTTTCGTTGTCTTTAAGGAACTCTTTACGGATAGCAAAGGCATAACTCGAGTATGTTGTTCCAAAGTCTATAGCCACAACATACGGCGTATTGAGCTACGAACAGAAAAGTAAATGATATTGACATTAGAAATTGTAATCACACATTTCATCGTTTGTTTACATCATTCAATTTACAGAATTTTCCCTTCTTTTTCTCCTCCGTTCTCTTTCAAAATGTTGCTTAGAAGCATCGAGAACGTGGACGAATTTACTAATTTCATTCATTTTACCCGGCATTTCATTTCATTTCATTTCAACGTCCTTTATGGTGCATGTTCTTAAATTGAAGAGATTTTCAAAGCTGATTACATTGTACATGTAGATCTGTTAAGATTTTACATGTTAGATCTGTAAAATTATACACTGTTAAGAAAAAAATATTTTCTTATTATCATCTGTAAGGTTTTATGCAGGTAAATGAAGAAGTTGATCTGACCATTGAGCTCAGTCAATCAAATAAGGAATACGAAATCATCAAAGGATATTATCAAAAATTATAGTACACTGAGTCTCGTATTTTAATTGATGAATTAAATAAGGGGAGCTTTCTTCGTCTTTGTAATACTAATCCATTGTCTCAAATGTACAATCCACCAGGAAAAACTTGAAGCCATTCACAACTGAGTCTCATTGACTGTTTTGACACAAAGCTGTATATGATTGTTATTTGACTCCTCTTTGGACGTCTTTAATTCAAATATTTTTCCCATTGTGGAAAAAAAACTTACCTGAAGCCAAGGTTCCGGAATGTCATGTTCGGTACATTTAGTAATGTGAAGCGTTAAGTTTGATGTCTTAATACATCCTCGTTTGATCAAGTCTGTAGCAACTGTAAGAATTGAAAATGAAATTAATACAGACTTTGAAAGACAAAGACATCATTGAGTAAATTGATAAATTCAATGAGATCATTGAGTAAATTAAACAATGAAGAAAGTAATTTGATTGTTGAAGATCCATTAGAATATGAACAATGACACATCTCGTTTCATATTTCATAATGATAAGGTGTTAAGTGATAGTTTTAAGACTAATAAAGATCTCCATCAAATAATGACCGAGTGATTCGCATAATGAACCCGGTCATTATTCGACGGCCAAAAATAACCCCCTGTCATTATTCCACGTCGAAAAATGACTCTTTTCTCCTTAGAAAACCTGTCATTACCCCCCATCCCCCAACAATTTAAATACCTTACGAGAAAATCGTATTGTATTATTATTAAACAAGTATGGAGATATCCGTAGAAGTTGGTACGTGACCTACATATGTATCTATATACGAGTAAGGAGATAATTATCTTCTGTTTTGCCCATTTCTTTCAAAATTTTTATGTAAATATATACATCTTGTACATAAGGGTACATCCTAAACTTACCTTCTGAATCTTCAAACAAGAACAACCATAGTGACCTATCTTCAAATTCTTTAGCACGTGTTAATTTTTGGTGAAAAATATCTTTCAAGTCCTTTTTTTCAGTTCCAGGTGGAAATCCCTTCACAAGCACACAACATAACGCCAATTCCTTGCGAATTTTATCTCTTAAATCTTGTTCACTCATGATTTTAGTAACTTCTTGTTTGGAATAGGAATCTAAGGATTTTATTTTTTGTCAGAATTTCCTTCGTCAATGTTGTCCAGGTGTGTCCTATCTATTCGACTATATACACCACAGTGACACAAATCATATTCAAGTATGTTTAAATAAATTCTGTAATTCTACTTTCTTTTTAGAGGAAAGGTAATTATTAGACCGTATGATATTGAGGAAACCTTCTATACTCGTAGTTCTTTTGCAATCAGGATGTTTTTGCTCTTTGTACACAAAAACTAACGTGTTGTTACACACATGATTCATAATCTTCTTGGGGCAACTTAAATGTACATTTGCTTAAACATTACCTTCCCTGCTAAAGTCTAAATACAACCTTTCAATCGGTGACCTAGTCCAAAATAGAACATGCGTGTCCACTTCACATAAATATTCATTTATATTTACTTTTCAGTCTGTATTTAAATCTCAAATAAAAATGTTCAGGTACTGACAGCAAGGTCAATTAAAGGTATTAAATGCATTTGATAGACTGAT